AAAAATTAGCTGGGCATGGTGGTGGGCTTCTGTAATTCCAGCTGCTCAGGGGGCTGAAGCAAGAAAATTGCTTGAACCCAGGAGGTAGAGGTTGCAGTGAGCTGAAATTGTGCCATTGCACTCCAGCCTTGGTGACAAGAGCAAAACTCTGTCTCAAAAAGAAGAAGAAGAAGAAAAAAAGTGGGGAGTTGTGGGGTATACATTTTGTTCTCCTCTTAGGAATGAGAGAGCAGAGCTTGTACGCTTGACGTGGCGTGGATGTGGGGTTAGGGAGGGGCTCTGGTCCTGACAGGGCCAGCAAAGCATAGTGCTTTGAATAGCCTATGAATAGTCATTTCTGCTGGCTTTTTTCTTCTTCCCAACCCTTTCTCAGGCCTGTTTCCTTGGCTTTGAAGTTGCTATGAAGTTCCTTAATTGGGCCATCCCCAACTTGTGAGACTGAAGGCTGCTCAAGCCTTCTGAATGCTGGAAGCTGTCACTGAGGAGGAGGAGTAGTGGGCAGAACGAACCAGTCCCGGAGGGCAAGGGGAGGGGGATGGTGGGATCAGAGCCCTGTGCTTGGACTTGGTGAGACCGTTGCCTTAATGACGTCCTGTACTTTGTATAACTTAGTGTGCCATTTTGAAACTTGAATTCATTCTTGTCAATTTAAGGGATCTTAAGAGGATTTGGAGATGGAACAAGAAGCTTCTAGACCAGATACTACCTGTGGCAAGAATGGTGGCTACCAGTTTTCTGCTGGTCCTACCATACCCAAAGTATTCCTCATTAAAGAGATAATCTCAGGTTCTCACTGGAGGCACTGTGCATGTTTTGAACCAGCTCACCAGCTGAGATCTTCTTCAGTCCCTAGCCAGGAACACTCACTTGATTTCCAGGGTGCCATCTAATCCTGGGCTACACGTGTGGATATGGATTTGAGGCCCACATCTGTGTCCAAGTGGACTGGGCATATGTGGCTAGGAGGAGATAGACTGTTAACTGTTGGATTTTGATTTTTTTTTAACGCATGCAAGTAATCAAAAGTAAAACTAGAGTGGTGTAATTTTCTGGGAGCAGGTGGAGAACTTTCCCTCCCACACAGTAAGGACAGTCCCAGTCTGCTGGAATAAGTGAGAAAGCGCAGGGTGTAGGAAGGCTCTTTTTGTACACTCTTTTCTCAGTGTACATTTTAATGAGAAACAATAAATGTTGTTTCCAATATTTGCATTGTGTTATATTTTCTTCTTTTGATTCTAGGACAGTTCAGTAGGCAGCCTGTGGCCTTGGTGGAGGAAGAGGTGGAGGAGGAGGAAGTTTTGGCTGGCTCTGCCTTCTCTGGATGCCCCAGCTGCAGCTGCTCTAGGGAGGATGGGTGTATTTTTAGTAGAGACAGGGTTTCACCATGTTGACCAGGATGGTCTCGATCTCTTGACCTCGTGATCTACCCGCCTCGGCCTCCCAAAGTGCTGGGATTACAGGCTTGAGCCACCGCGCCCGGCCAATTAATTTTTATTAATTAAATTTTTTAGAGACAGGGTCTTACTTTTTCAGCCAGGCTAGAGTGCAATGGTGAGATCAGAGCTCACCGCGGAACTCAACCTGATCCTCCTGCCTCTGCCTCCCAAGTAGCTGGAACTACAGGTGTGTACCGCTGTGTCTGGCTATTAAAAAAAAAAAAATTGTAGAGATAGGGTCTCACTATGTTGCCCAGGCTGAACAGTTTTGAAAGATGAAAATTGTGGCGGGGTACAGTGGCTCATGCCTGTAATCCCAGCATTTTGGGAGGCTGAGGCAAGTGGATCATATGAGTTCAGGAGTTTGAGACCACCCTGGCCAACATGGAGAAACCCTGTCTATGCTAAAAATTAAAAAAAATTAGCCAGAGTTGTGGTGGTCATCTGTAATCCTAGCTTCTCGGGAAGCCGAGGCAAGAGAATTGCTTAAACCTGGGAGTTGGAGGTTTCAGTGAGCCAAGATTGCGCCATTGCCCTCCAGCCTGGGTGACAGAGTGGGACTCCATTTCAAAAATAAAGAAAATAAAATAAAATTGTATATTCTGTATCTGGCAAGGTTAATTAAATGTTAAGCCTGCTTCTTCTAATGCTGGAGGATGTCTTTGTTTAATATCACATTGATTTGGAGATGGCTATATATGTGTCTCCTGAAGCTCTTCTTTTTATTTATTTATAATTAAAAAAATATTCCTCCACACATTTATTCTCTGAAATCTCTTCCTTTTAAATCTTATTTAAAAAAAATTTTTTTTGAGACAGAGTTCATTCTGTCACCCAGTACAGGAGCATGATCATGGCTCACTGCAGCCTTGACCTCCCGGGCCCAAGCGACCTTTCCACCTCAGCCTCCTGAGTATCTGAGACCACAGGCATATGTTACTATGCCCAGATAATTTTTTTAAATTAATTTTTTGTAGAGATGTAGTTTCCCTATGTTGCCCAGGCTGGTCTTGAATTCCTGGGCTCCCAGCTTGGCCTGCCAAAGTGCTGGGATTACAGGTGTGCACCACTGTGCTCAGCCTGAAGCTTTTGATATCACCCAGTCCTAAGACTGTTTTAAATTTTAAATTCAAATTTTTTTTTTTGAGATGGAATTTTACTCTTCTTGCCTAGGCTAGAGTGCAATGGTGCGATCTCGGCTCACTACAACCTCCGCCTCCTCGGTTTAAGCGATTCTCCTGGCTCAGCCTCCTGAGTAGATGGGATTACAGGTATGTGCCACCACATCCTGCTAATTTTATATTTTTAATAGAGACAGGGTTTCTCCATGTTGGTCAGGCTGGTCTCAAACTCCCGACTTCAGGTGATCCGCTTGCCTTGGCCTCCCAAATTGCTGGGATTACAGGTGTGAATCACTGCACCTGGCCATTTTTTTTTTTTTTTGGAAGCAAAGTCTCGCTCTGTCACCCTGGCTGGAATGCAGTGGTACGATCTCAGCTCCCTGCTGCAACCTCCACCTCAAACGATTCTCCTACTTCAACCTTCCAAGTAGCTGGGACTACAGGTACCTGCCACCACGCCCAGCTAATTTTTGTATTTTTAGTAGAGACAGGGTTTCCCCACGTTGACCAGGCTGGTCTTGAACTCCTAACCTCAAGTGATCCACCCACCTTGGCCCCCCAAAGTGCTGGGATTATATGGGTGAGTCACTGTGCCCAATCAAGACTTCTAAAACTTCAAAAAGACTTCTAAGACTTCTAAATCTTTGCCTAGAAGCTCCTGTAACCGTCTGTGCCTCTGGATAATTTGCCATTTGGAAATTATCCCTTTCAAAAATTTGAAAATTTTTCCATTTTAAAATGGAGTATTTTGGTACTTTGATGTTAGTGGGGGTAGATTCTTTTACTCCTTTGGGTGTTCAATAGATGTTAAGTCAAATAGGGAAGCCCCTGGAGGCATATTTGTGAAGGGAGCAGATGTTGAGTTAACTCCCTCCTGGCTGGTGCTTCCTTTTATGATGCACTTTGAAATGCCACCTGTTCCTGATATATCTCTTCTCTTCCTGACAGGAGTAAGGGGTGGGGAAAAATTGGGGCCCTCCTTAGCAATTTCTCTGACTTTCATAGTCATAACTGAGAGCCAGACAGTGATTTCTTCAGTAACCAACTGATGATAAAAGCCTCACCCAGGCACCAAGAAGCATATAACTGGGCCAAAGGTGAGGGACGGAGCAAAGGTTGTTGCAACAGTGACCTATTAAAAGCACAGTAGCCCCATTTCAGCTATAAAGCCGTACCATCTCTACCCCACATTTATTTCCCTATAGACTTTTGAGGCTGGAACCCTCTACATCTTTTCTAACCTCCTTATAAATTTATTTTCTTATTTCTTTATCCCCTTGTAACTCAATGTTTAATGGGTAAGGATTTTTTCGTTTGTTTTTTGAGAGTGAGTCTCCCTCTTTCCCAGGCCAGAGTGCAATGGCATGATCTTGGCTCACTGCAACCTCTGCTTCCCGGATTCAAGTGATTCTCCTGCATCAGCCTCCTGGGTAGCTGGGATTGCCGATGCACACCACCACACCCAGCTAATTTTTGTATTTTTAATAGAGATGGGGTTTTGCCTTTTTGGACAGGCTGGGCCTGAACTCCTGACCTCAAGTGATCCAACCGCTTCTGCCTCCCAAAGTGCTGCAATTACAGGCATGAGCCACCGCACCTGGCCTCTGGGTAGGGATTTTGACCCCCACTTTCAGCTGTGGAAGCCAAGGCTCAGACAGGGTAAACTGATCTGCGGAGGTCATTGGCAAATTGATAATGAAGTGTGGATTGTGTGGGTATCCTGAAAAAAGATTTGTGATGCTATCAGAGGCTGTCCTGAGGTTGTTTGATCCAGGCTCCAGGAGACCTGTCTGTACCACCTGGTCCACGCTTAGGTACCTGACCTGTGAATCAGATCATGGATGGCTCACACAGTCCTGACAGGCACTGGGAAGGCCCCAGGGCCAGGTGTCCCTGAGGATTAACTTTTCTTCTTTCTCTGCTATGGCAAGCATGCAGACCTGTCATTTTCCAGCCAAGTTCCCTGTGCTTTCTAGGTTCTTTCCTTGCCCTGAGGTGTCTCAGATGCAGACCCTGGGTCCACTGCAGAGACTGACACTTTCTCAGGACATAGTGTCTCGGCATGGGGGTGGCTCCCAGGTACACAAATGTGTCCTGGGAATGAACTGCTCCCTGGAGCATGGGCATTTATTAAAATAGATCAGATTGATTGCAGTACATTGAGCTCCATAGAGACAACACCGGGGAATTAGCCGGGCATGGTGGCATGCACCTGTAGTCCCAGCTACTTGGGAGGCTGAGGCAGGAGAATCGCTGGGATCTGGGAGGCAGAGGTTGCAGTGAGCCAAGATCACACCATTGCACTCCAGCCTGGGTGACAGAGCAAAACTCCATCTCCAAAAAATAAATAAAAATAAAGTAAAAAAAATAATAAAGAGACAATGCTGGGGCAAGTGAGAGCCAGATGGGCACTGGGCAACTCTGCTTCATTAAGGAAAAATAACTAAATGTGGGCAAAGGATATCCTAAGAAGCCGAGAGGCAAAATGTCATCATATGCATTTTTTGTGCAAACTTGTTGGGAGGAGCATACGAAGAAACACCCAGATGCAGTCAACTTCCCAGAGTCTTCTAAGAAGTGCTGAGAGAGGTGGAAGACCATGTCTGCTAAAGAGAAAGAAAAATTCTAAGATACGGCAAAGGTGGACAAGGCCTGTTATGAAAGAGAAATGAAAACCTATATCCCTCCTAAAGGGGAGACAAAAAAGAAGTTCAAGGATCCCAATGCACCCAAGAGGGCTTTTTCTTGTTCTGCTCTGAGTATGGCCCAAAAATCAAAGGAGAACATCCTGGCCTGTCCATTGGTGATGTTGCAAAGGAACTAGGGGGCATGTGGAATAACACTCCTGCAGATGATAATCAGCCTTATGAAAAGAAGGCTGCGAAGCTGAGGGAAAAATACAAAAAGGTGAAATACCATTGATTTGATAATGGAAATTTAAAAAATAAATAAATAACACATAAAAAAAGAAAAATATGAAAAGGATATTGCTGCATATCGAGCTGAAGGAAAGCCTGATGCAGCAAAAAAGGGAGTTGTCAAGGCTGAAAAAAGCAAGAGAAAGAAGGAAGAGGAAGAAGATAAAGAAGATGATGATGATGAATAAGTTGGTTCTATTGCAGTTTTTTTGTCTATAAAGCATTTAACCCCCCTGTACACAACTCACTCCTTTTAAAGAAAAATTGAAATGTAAGGCTGTGTAAGATTTGTTTTCAAACTGTACAGTGTTTTTTTTTGTATAGTTAACACACTACCAAATGTGTCTTTAGAAAGCCCTGTCCTGGTGATATTTTCAGTAGCCACTAACCTTTTGTGGTACAGTATGGGGGTTGTAAATTGGCACCGAAATTTAAAGCAGTTTCTTGTTGGTGCACAGCACAAATTAGTTCTATATGGGGATGGTAGTTTTTTCATTTTCAGTTGCCTCTGATGTAGCTTATATGAAATAATTGTTGTTCTGTTAACTGAACACCACTCTGTAATTGAAAAAAAAAAGTTGTAGCTGTTTTGTTGACATTCTGAATGCTTCTAAGTAAATATAATTTTTTTTTTAATTAGAAAAAAAATGGATCAGATTTCCTGGATGAAAGGCAGTGGCCTCATTGGAAGAGCCACGATAGAGGCTAAAAAAACAGCTTGGGTGAGGGCAGAGAAAACATAGCCTACTTCCTCAATCTCTTTTGCCAACTAGAGGCTCATGAACACTTCCAAGGCAACATAGAAACTGTTGCTGGTAGGAATTAAGTGAACTGAGAGTACTAAATCAGGGAGGGCCTGGCATGCAGAGGTGGTCAGGTGACCAGCAGATCCCAGGAGATTGGTAGGGGACTGGAATGGCTTAGAAAAGTGGTCCTTTGATCATGTAAGAGGGAGATGTTTCTGCTGGAGCTGAGTCTCACAAGTATGTAGAGGACATAAGATATTTAAGCTGGAGGATCTGAGCCAAGAGCAGGCCTTCAGAGGAGTTCAGGGAAGTTTAGGCCCCTCCTTTCATCTTGGAGAGACAGAAAGAGAGAAACGTTTGAATAATAAACCTATCAAGAGCATACAAAATTCATTGTTTCATTGGAAATAGCAATAGTACCCTACCCATGTTCATTTACACCAAGACCCGTTGCTTTTGGGCTAAACAACATGTGTCCCACCTGTGCTACTGTGCATCCATTGTCGTAAACATCTCTGTGAATTGGCCCCATTGCGTCCACATCTGTGTCTGTGGTTGGTGATATGACAGTTTGTGCAAGATGTTGACTGCCTGCTGAGTTGTGAGTAGGATTAGATTGGAATATAGCATCCTCAGGGTTCTGGGGCCTCCTCTCCTCCTCCTGTGTAATTCTCTTGCTGCTGCTTTTTTTTTTTTTTTTTTTTGAGATGGAGTCTTGGCTTTATTGCCAGGCTGGAGTGCAGTGGCGCAATCTCGGCTCACTGCAACCTCCGCCTCCTGGGTTCAAGCAATTCTGCCTCAGCCTCCCGAGTAGCTGGGACCACAGGCACGTGCCACCATGCCCAGCTATTTTTTATATTTTTAGTAGAGATGAGGTTTCACCATGTTGGCCAGGATGGTCTCGATCTCTTGACCTCATGATCTGCCCACCTTGGCCTCCCAAAGTGCTGGGATTATAGGCATGAGCCACCGCACCTGGCCACTTGTCTTGCTTCTAAGGGTCTCTGCTGTTGGCCTTTTCCACCATCACTTGCTGTTGGCAGCTGTATCTCGGTTATTAGCTGCCTCTGGGTTTAGTTGCTATGGTAACCTCCAGCGGTGCAGCTGGACAGGCTTGAATGCAGGCAGGATAAATGCAGGATAAGGGTAGAAGATGTCAGGTTCAGGCTCCTGGTGTTCCTCTCCTGTTAAAGGGCCCTCTTCTTTGGCCTGTTCAACTGGGCATTCATGAAGACCCTGGGGGCTCTACTTGTTACTGAAGAGTTGGCCAGAAGGGGAGAGATGGACCCCTGCTCTGGGGACCAAGTGCTGGGGAGAGTTCCAGGTTGAACCTGGAGGCTGGCTGCCCATCCTTGTTCTGAGGCTAGCCTATGGAGACCCATGAGGAGCAGCTATAGGGTTCCTGCTTTCTGTGGCTATATGGCAGATGCACCTGTATATGGTAGCTGCACCTGACAGCAATAACTTAAGCCTACCCTGAAAATGACCCTGCCTAAATGACAGGGTCATTTTCAGGGTAGGCTTAAGTTATTAAGGCAGGTGCACCTCAATATTAGGAGTTCCAAATGACGACAACCTGAAGATTCATTCCTTGTGCATGAGGAATATCTGAGCCCGCATCCTGTCCTGTGACCGTACAGGGGATTGAGGCCTTTTGTTTTGGGTTAAATCAAAGTTGTTAAGGAAAGGGTGTTAAGTGAAAATGCTATATGTACGGCACGCTTTCTGCAGGTGGGGCAGTTCTATCTAGCTCTCCTCCCCTGAACTGCTTTGTATCAACCCTATGTCTTGTTTGCTGGCACTGGATCACTTTTGGCCTCTCGAACCTGGTGCCGTCCCTACTGAAGTTAATAGGGATCTGATGGCTGGGCACAGTGGCTCATGCCTAAATCCTAGCACTTTGGGAGGCTGAGGTGGGTGGATCGCCTGAGTTCAGGAGTTCAAGACCAACTTGGCTAACATGATGAAACCCCGTCTCTACTAAAAACACAAAAATTAGCCAGGTGTGGTGGTGTGCACCTGTAGTCCCAGCTACTAGGGAAGCTGAGGCAGGAGAATCACTTGCACCCAAGAGGCGGAGGTTACAGTTAGCAGAGATAGTGCCACTGCACTCCAGCCTAGGTGACAGAGCGAGACTCTGTCTCAAAAAAAAAAAAAGAAAAAAGGCCAGGCACAGTGGCTCACACCTGTAATCCCAGCACTTTAGGAGGCTGAGGCAGGCAGATTACCTGAGGTCAGGAGTTCGAGACCAGCCTGGCCAATATGGTGAAACTCCATCTCTACTAAAAATAAAAAAAAATGATACCCATGGTGGTGCATGCCTGTAATGTAATTCCAGCTACTTGGGAGGCTGAGGCAGGAGAATCGCTTGAACTCAGGAGGCAGAGGTTGTGGTGAGCCGAGATTGTGCCATTGTTGCCCTCTAGCCTGGGCAACAATGGCAAACTGTCTCACTGTCTCAAAAAAAAATTAGGTGGGCTTGGTGGTGGGCACCTGTAGTCCCAGATACTCGGGAGGCTAAGGCAGAATTGCTTGAATCCGGGAGGCGGAGGTTAGAGTGAGCTGAGATCACACCAGTGCACTGGAGCCTGGGTGACAGAGCAAAAATTGGTCTCAAAAAAGATAAAAGGTCAGATGTGGTAGCTCATACTTGGGTGGGTAACAAGGTCAGGAGTTCACCATGTTCATGGCCAACATGGTGAAACCCCGTCTCTACTAAAAAAAAAAAAAAAAAAAAAAAATTACCTCAGCATGGTGGTGGGTACCTGTAGTCCCAGCTACTTGGGAGGCTGAGGCAGGAGAATCAACTGAACCAGGAGGCAGAGGTTGCAGTGAGCTGAGATCACACCACTACACTCCAGCCTGGGTGACAGCACTGGGCGTAGTGGCTCACACCTGTAATCCCAGCACTTTGGGAGGCTGAGGCAGGCAGATCACCTGATGTCAAGAGTTTGAGACCAGCCTGGCCAACATGGTGAAGCCCCGTCTCTACTAAAAAATACAAAAAGTTACCCGGGCATGGTGGCATGCACTTGTATTCCCAGCTACTCGGGAGGCTGAGACATGAGAATCACTTGAACTCGGGAGGTAGAGGTTGAAGGTTGCAGTGAGCCGAGATCGCACTACTGCACTCCAGCCTGGGTGACAGAGTAAGACTCTGTCTCAAAAAAAAAAAAAAAAAAAGAAAATAGTGATTTGGTACAATAATGGCCCTCATTCCTTTCAGGATGCCTTTTGAATCCTCTTTGCTTTGGTGGTTGGATGAGCTGTGGGGCATCTGAGAACAAGTCAGGTTGACTGGCCTGCTTCAGGCAAGGCCAGTAGGAGTTCCTTGGAGCAACTTGGAAAACTCACCCATACTCAACTCTGCTGTCAGCCCTGGGAGTGGCCTTTCTCTTCTCTACTTTGTTTTGTTTTGTTTTGTTTGAGATGGAGTCTCACTCTGTCACCCAGGCTGGTGTGCAGTGGTGAGATCTCGGCTCACTGCAGCCTCCGCCTCCCAGGTTCCAGCGATTCTCCTGCTTTAACCTCCTGAGTAGTTGGGATTACAGGTGCCCACCACCACATCCAGCCAATTTTTGTATTTTCAGTAGAGATGGGTTTTCACCATTTTGGCCAGACTGGTCTCAAACTATTGACCTTGTGATCTGCCTGTCTTGGCCTCCCAAAGTGCTGGGATTACAGGCATGAGCCACGGCACCCGGCCTCTCTCCTCTATTTTGTAATTGAGGTCGAAGTCTTAACTGTACAGGTGCCAATCTCCCTTTAAAACATATAAAACATAAAACCAGCAGGGCTGGTGGCTCATGCCTGTAATCCCAGCACTTTGGGAGGCCGAGATGCACTGATCATGAGGTCAGGAGTTTGAGACCAGCCTGGCCAACATGGTGAAACCCCATCTCTACTAAAAATACAAAAATTAGCTGGACGTGGTGGCGTGTGCCTGTAATCCCAGCTACTTGGGAGGCTGAGGCAGGAGAATTGCTTGAACACTGGAGGCAGAGGTTGTAGTGAGCCGACATCATGCCACTGCATCAGCCTGGGAGACAGAGCAAGACTCTGACTCAAAATAACAAGAACAACATATAAAACCTGACAATATGGGCAAACTAGAGAACAGAGTTGTGAATTTGCCTTTCCAAAAGGTTGGCTAACGGATTGCTTGAAAAGGGGCAGATCCCCAGGTGTGGCAGTACCATGGAAGTCACACCTAGGTTTTCTGGATATTGTGTCAAGACTGATCCCTGCAAGACTTGGATCAATCTACCCAAGAGCAGAGAAGAGGTAAGGGACACTACCCCTCCAGCTCCACATTGCTTGTCCTTAATCGGGTCTTCATATTCTGAGATACAGTTTTAAGGCAGGGGGTCCCAGCTGAGACTACGAGGTCAGGAGAGCAGTTTCATTGGCTCTGCTTGCTGTATCAAGATTTACCATTTAGCCAGTAGACCTTTTCTAAAAGTATGCAATAAGGACTGAGCAGGAAAAAAGTTGGAGACTGCCTCTCCCCTCACAAAGTTGATGATCCAAGATTCTTCTCGGGTCAAGAAACTTGTCCACGGAGACACTGCTGTTTATAATCACAGGACTGCTTAGCCTAGAGCCTGGGCTGACCTCTACATCAGTGGGGATGAGGTGCTCCTTGCTTCCAATTGCTCAGCTTCCAGCAGCATTGAGCTCCTGGGTGTGTGCCAAGCCTGTATGGGAGGTGCTAGGGAGGATTTTAATTAATACTGGGTAATTACCAGGTGGAGTTTAAGCATCCCAAATGCCTTCAGGTTCCCAAACCTACAGCTACTGTCTTCTTGCCTGGGCCTGGAAAGGAGAGGGGGGGACTCTGCCCTGTGCCCAGCGGGCCTTTGGTTAGCACGTAGGCTGTGGTCTGATATCCCAGGAAGGTGTCCATCTTCTTTAATTCCCTTCCACTTTGGAAGGAGGAGGAGAGCAATTTGAGAAGTAGCCTGGCCTCTGCAGTTCACCTATACCATCTCCCCAGGAGCAAAGGATAACAACACTTTGTGGTCTGTTCAACTTCATCAAGCAGTGTTGGCCTAGGGTCCAGTGTAGAGTGTGGGGAAAGGAGTGGGCAGACCTAGACCTGTGGACCCTGGTGAGAATGCTCCAGGAGGAACAGGCACAGAGGTCTTTCCTGCTTCTGGCCTTACTTCCCTTTCTCACTGTACACATTTGGCTGAGTGAACTCTTTCAAATTTATTTTTATGCCAGTGGCTCTCAAATTATGATCTCCCTGAAACGCCTACTTCCTACAAGGCCTTCCCCATTTGACATCTCAGAGACCTGCCAGACTCTTGAGTTATTTCACCATTCCACCTGGCAGCGACGGTGGTCCTGAATCCACCAGGCCTTTGCTCTTGTTGTATGTTCAGATGGTTTTTCTTCAGATCTTCCCCTGGTCGGATCCTGCTCAGGCCTCGGGGCCAGCTTGAATGTCACCCCCGAAAGTGAGCCCTCTCTTGCCCTTCATCACAGCAGAACCACACTGAGGTGCTCATATGTTTCTGCGTCTCGCTGTGTCTCTATTGCTAACTGCCAGCAAACAGGAGGCTCTTGGCATCTATTGAAAGAATAATTTAAAGGTCTTCAGGACCAGGCGACAGGCACTAATCGGTCCCCTTCATGGGTACACCATTCATTACTTAATTCCCTGGATTCCCGCCGGGAGCTGGCAGCTGGAACCCTCTATGCCTTGACCCCCCGACAGCCCGAGGGGCGGGCCGCCCAGTGGCGCAAGCGCACTGAGGGCCGGTGCTAGGCGGGGATGCGCACGCCCGCGGCCGCGTGCGTCACACAGCTTGGGTGCCCGCCCCGCTCGCCCAGCTCGCCGGCCCGTCGGTCCCCGCGGCGGCAGCGGCTGCCCAGTGACAGCGGCGGCGGTGCCAGGCCGGCTGTGGTAGCGTAGGGTTGCGCCGCCCGGAAACGCAGAACCGGCCAAAGAGCGGCGCGACGCGAGGAGGGCCGAGCCTGGGCCGCGCACGAAGAGACCTCGCGGGCGGGGAACGAAAGGCCGACGTGAGTGAGTGCGGAGACAGTGGCCGCAGGCGGCCCAACCCGTCCGTCCCCTCGGCCGCCGCCGGCATGAGCCACATCCAGATCCCGCCGGGGCTCACGGAGCTGCTGCAGGGCTACACTGTGGAGGTGCTGCGACAGCAGCCGCCTGACCTCGTCGAATTCGCAGTGGACTACTTCACCCGCCTGCGTGAGGCCCGCTCCCATGCCTCAGTCCTGCCCACCGCCACCCCACGCCAGAGCCCGGGCCACACCACGCCAGAACCCGGCCCGGACCACGTCGCCGACGCCAACGGGGACAGCGAGTCGGAGGAGGACGAGGACTTGGAAGGTAGGCTGTGGGCGGGGCCCTGGGGAATGGTGCAGGAGATCTCCAGAGGTCTAGATAGGTGGCGGGGGGCCGGTTGTCGCGCTGGGGGCCAGCCGACCGCGGGCTGGGACTGGGAGCTTCTAGCGTTTCCCTGAGACACCGGCGTGAGCCCGCGTGCGCCACTTCCAAACTGAGCTTCGCGGTCCTGCGAGCCCTGGAACGTACTGAGTCAGATTCAATCTTGAAGGAAACGTGCGCGTTGCCGGCCCCGCCAGAGGATCCCTCGTCTTGGCTTGAGACCCTTCACCAGGTTTGGCTTCGAAGATAAGAGCATTCACATCCAGTGACTCGTGTTTAATTGATAGGACAGTAAGTTTGTTTGGAAATAATTCATTTTTTTGAAAAGTTACTGTGAAAACTTTTAAACATAGACAAAAGAGGAAAGGTGAGATAAATCCCTATATGCTATCACCTACATTTAACAGTTGTATTTGTCACAAAGTTTCATCTATACCTTTTTTTCTTTCTTTGCCAAGGTGCATTAAAGCAAATCTCTCAGGTCATTTCACCTCTGCTTACTTGAGTATGTATTTCTTAAAACATGGTACCTGGGAAATTCCTATTTTAAAAAATTTGTCCAAAATGATTGAATCAAATTTGGTGAGAGTAAATAATTATTTTGCTGGCGGGGCCCTGTAGTCCCAGCTACTCTGAAGGCTAGGGAGGAGATATCCCTTGAGTCCAAGAGTTGGAGACCAGCCTGGGCAAAATAGACACCCTACTCCATTTTAAAAAAGGAAAAGCCTGGCCAGGTGTGGTGGCTTACTCCTGTAATCCCAGCACTTTGGGAGGCCGAGGTCGGTGGATTACCTGAGGTCAGGAGTTTGAGACCAGCCTGACTAACATGGCGAAACCCTGTCTCTACTAAAAATACAAAAATTAGCTGGGTGTGGTGGTGGGTGCCTGTAATCCTAGCTGCTGAGGAGGCTGAGGCAGGGAGAATCGCTTGAACCCGGAAGGTGGAGGTTGCAGTGAGACGAGATCACGCCATTGCACTCCAGCCTGGGCGACAGAGCAAGACTCTGTATC